AAAACATTAAGTGGGCTAATCAAATATTTCCAGATTGCCTCTTCTGCTTTCACTTTACCGTGGGTGCTAAACAATCCAAGTGTTGTATATTTATTATCTCTTCCAACACGGTTTTCACTCCTGTAGGCCCACTTCTGATGTCTTAAATAGTGTATAGTTTGAGGATAAAATACATATCGAATGCGATCCCTTTAGATATTCCGAAGACCTTTGACAACGTGTGATATCGGATTTGGATACACAAACCTGCAAGCGATATAATCTCTGAAAGAGACTTCTCTGTTATAAAATATTTCTTATCAACTCTAAGTGTCGTTTTCGTTTTATTCTAGTTAAATCTTCGTCACTCACATATTCATTGCGTTGTATTCTCGTTATACGGCTATAAAACAACTTATTTCTTGCTTCGGTTCTTTTCTGCACATAGAAGGAAATTATCCACTTTTCTTTGCCATATAAGAGAACAGATATTACATAACAGTTCAACACTATTTTATTTTGATTGTGTGTGTGGTGGGGCAATGAAATGTTCTTATCTATAAGCTTCTAGAGGAAATAATTCGCTATTTCAAAGCAGCCTCAGTTATTTATTGTGTTATGATATCTTAATCTCTATTCGCGCTTCATTCTAACGTTAACAATTCGATGCACAAACAGTGGGTTTCTCCATAGCTGAAAACCATACATAATCCATTCGTCTTGCCTCCATTTTCGAGGAGTCATAACCTATTGGCTAACATTCGCTCCCCGCCAAATACAGTAAAACATTGCTTTTATGTGTTTGTGCTCTGATGTAGTGACTGATACGAGCTGTATCATTAGAAATAGCATAGTAACTAGGACAATGTTGTTTACCGAATAATGAATTTAGTAGAAAATCGTCAACATCGATATTCTGCACAGTATTCTTTTTTTTATTTCAATTTAGCGCTAATTTTTGCAACAATGCCCACGCCATCCGCTTTCTGTATTTAGTCAACACAGAAATAAAAACAACAATTCACTCTATCACTTTTAGCAGGAAGGTAAAAAGAAATAAATCGGACATTTAACTGAGACACCATTACGAAGTTTTATGACGCTTTTAGCTCGTTTCTTTATACATTAAAGTGAGAAATTTATTCCAGTACTTTTTTTTTTAAATTAACGACTATAAAAAACCGCTTTCACATCACAGAAAATTAGAGCTCATTAACCCTTTGCTTATCCTACGTACCATGTCCTTTTAAGACGTGGCCGAGCATGGCTCTTTACATCATATCCTTTGAAACGCTTTGTATGAATTATTTTCCCCAGCCCATCAAATTACTGTTCTACCAATCAATTGCGGAAATTCATTAGCTTGGGTTTTCGCTGTTTTCTATTGACCCTCTCGCTTTCGAAATATCTTGAAAGTGTCAGCTTATCTTGGTATTTTTTCGCATAATGTGTCCAAAAGATCTCAACTGCCTATTTTTGTGTATAAATTTTGGTTTCCTTTTTCCTTAAGATTTGGTTTTTGTTGCGTATTCCGTCAATTGTATTCTCAGCGTCCTTCTGTATTTCTGTTACATTAAGCCACTTTTTTTTAAATTTCTAAAGTGATTGTCCAGCATCGCCTGTCTTAGAAGAGGACCGATATTATATAACACTTCAGTACACGTTCTGTTGTTTCTTTTCCTTTTCATATTATTTTGCTTAGCTTTCGGAATGCACCTATCTGTCCGTGTACTCCAATCCATATCGATGTCACACTTTTCGTCCTCCATTTAAACAATTCCTTGATACTTATTTTTTCAGTTCAGTTCATTTTGATTTTTCCAAAAAGTACTTAGCATGTTAGTCTTTTAATTTAGGCCAATCTCTCTACTAAACAATTGATGTGTGTATATATATCTAAATATGCCTGGGTGCTTATGTATTATAATCTGATTGTGTTTGTGTTGTTTTGCGAGTGAGTTTAAGACCCCATTCACACACTTGTGATTAGAATATATATAAATGTATTGTCAAATGACCAGTTATTGTAGCGTCTGTTCTAACGTAATTTCAACGTAGAAATAAATTGAATAACATATGTATTTTTTCTTTTCTCCTCAGTAATTTTATAGTTTTTAAACTTAATAGTGATTAAATTTGGATTTTAAAATTGGCAGTTTTTAAATTTAATATCAGATTTTATCATATACTTTAATAATTATTGGTTAGAATAAATTCTTTTAATATTACTCGTATTTTAAAGATCTGATTAGCTATTATAACATGATTTCGTTGTCAAGCTTTTGAATCTTCCTATACTTGGGTTTTGATTGGTCATTCTAGCTTTTGTAAAAATGTTTTCCCCTAGCGAAGAATCGTTAATTAATTTGAAACATTTAAAACCATTTATTTTATATTCAACATCATCACATGATAAGACACCGAGGGTGTCGAAACAAAATGGCTATTTTTGTAGTGATTTTATAACATATTTATGTTATAAATATTTTTTTATAGAAAATTATTATATCTGCTATACTTT